CAATTGGAGGAAGAGGAGGAGGAGAAGGAGAAGACTGTTTAGGAAAGGAATGATCAGTGCCTGCCTATAAGTAGCCTGAAAGTACCAGAGCATTCCCTGAAGTCATAGGAGCAGTAGCAAATAACCAGGAAGAGAAGCATTCCAGGAAGAGTAGAATGCACCCTAGCAAGGGACCTGTGGTACCCAGCTAGTTTTCTGACTGAAATAAGATAATCTAGCAAGGTTGTGGGAGGAACTGTGGTGGCGGGCAGTTTTGAAGAATAAAACTACCTATTTTTTCCTAAGAAGTAACCTTAAAATACTGTGCTGTTGATGTGCATGCATAAATTTAGCTAATGCTAATTAATGAGTTGTATGCTTTAAGGCAGGGTTTCCCAACCTATGGGTCGGGACCCAAATATGGGTCTCCATTACATTTCAAAAGGGTCGCCAAGTGTCTCCCCAGGTGGCTCTGCCCCCTCGCCTCCCCCCGTTTTTTAATTTCTTGGGTCACCAAGTCGTCTTGAATTGTCAAAATGGGTTCCTATCTGGAAAAGGTTGGGAACCGTTGCTTTAAGGGACGGGTTCCTATCTGGAAAAGGTTGGGAACCGCTGCTTTAAGGGAATAGACTCTTTAACTACAAAGGTGAAATCATTGCAGTAAATATACATTTAATCTCTAAATTTTGGTTATGTATATAAAAGTAGTCTGTCCACGTTGGAAACTGTAATGGAAAAAGTTATACCACAACATGTGTGTATATACTGCCAGCTGAAGAGAGTTCACATGATTTAACAGTGGAGGCAATAGAACAGCAGTGTTCACATTGTGGGTTGGGACCAGTGTTCTCTCTAATCTTTTCCATACATCTGTGGAATAAATTTTATGTGCACCATTACATGTGGAAATGTGCATTGCCAGTAGAAACAAAACAACTTAGCTTTAGGTGTTCTGCTAATCAGCTGAGTGGGATTTGAACCTTTCTCAAGTGGCTATAAAAGCGAACAGCTTACAGGGAACACTGGTTGAGATGCCATATTAATATGGTCGCCATGGCCACCATTACACTTGTTGGGATCCAGGACTGAAGCTTGAGCTCCAACTCCACCTCGCCGGGCTCAGGCTGCATCTCCCTTTCCCACCACTCCAGGGTCATGTAATAATTTTGTTGTCAAAAGGGGGTTACTGCATTGAAGTTTAAGAACCCCTGCCGTACTTTATTCCTTCCAGTGGAAATAGCTTATTTTACTTCCATAGTGATAGGGTAGGCAGATAAACTGTGTAAAAAGAGTCAGAGCAAGTAGATTGAAAACCACTAGCTGATTTTGAATTTTAAATTATTGGTCCAATACGTTTTTATGTAAGAGAGTCCATTATTATAAATATAACTTCCTATTCTTTTATTCTTTTGTAATAAAGTGTGTATGTTTGAGCTGTTTTCTTAGTACTTGAGATAATTTATTCCAACTCTCCAGTACTTTATTAACAAGATTATGGCAATGTATATAGCAAACTTTGTACTGTGCACGTAGGGGAGCTGAAGGAAGACTTGTCTTCAAGAGCTCTTAATCAAGCATCAGAATGATTATGAAATTCTTCCAACCTGGTGGTTCTGTTGTCCTTTGTTTCTTTATTCCATAGATTTCCTTCTCATGCTGCTCTGAATGAGGAGTTTCTCCTTTGTAAGGATGTTGCCTGCAGGATTCCCTACTGGCTATGGTACTTTGGCACCCAGCTGCGTAGAATCAAACTGTTGACAAATATATAGTTGCAAACCAACACTTTATGCACTAGGTGATTATTGGCTATAGTGATAGTTTGAATATTAAAAACTTCAGAGGGGTAACTGAGTTAGTCTGTAACAGGAAAAACTTAAACAACAAATAGTCTAGTAGCACCTTAAAAACTAACAAAACATGTAGATGGTACCATCTTCATGTTTTGTTAGTCTTTAAGGTGCTACTAGACTATTCATTGTTTTTAAATTTTGAATATAGTTAGTGTTCAGAGTGCTTGATACATTTCAGGGGTCTAGTATAGGGATGTAGGGGTATGTCTACACTAGCCCCCTAGTTTGAACTAGGGTGGGTAATGTAGGCATTCGAACTTGCAAATGAAGCCCGGGATATTTAAATCCCGGGCTTCATTTGCATGTTCCCTGGCGGGTGCCATTTTATAATCCCCTTAGTTCGAATTGACTGCCCGCAGCTACACGCGGCAGTCATAAATTAATCCGAACTAAGGGCTTAGTTCGGATTAATTTATGACTGCCGCGTGTAGCTGCGGGCAGTCAATTCGAACTAAGGGGATTATAAAATGGCACCCGCCAGGGAACATGCAAATGAAGCCCGGGATATTTAAATCCCGGGCTTCATTTGCAAGTTCGAATGCCTACATTACCCACCCTAGTTCAAACTAGGGGGCTAGTGTAGACATATCCTAGGTGA